AGGGCCACGGTTTAGGGTTTAGGGTTTCGGGTCTAGGGTTTAGGGTTTAGGGTTTAGGCTCCGGGGTTTCGGGTTTAGTATAGGGCCACGGTTTAGGGTTTAGGGTTTCGGGTCTAGGGTTTAGGGTTTAGGCTCCGGGGTTTCGGTTCTAGTATGTAGGGGGACAGAAGCAGAAGCATTTTACAGGGATACTGTTGATGATGTAAATCCTGCATTACCTTTAGGACCCTAAACTATGGGAATTATGGTACATTCCTCACTATGGGTAATGCAGGATTTATAGAATCCATCGTATCCCTACCTTTTCGGGCTTCGCGAGAAGGTGGTTTATATGGGGGTTTCCGAAAATAGGGGACCCTAATATAGCACCCTAATTAATAGGATCCCTATTATAAGGACCCCAAAATAAGGTACCCTAATTTGCTGAAACTCCCATATCCCCTAAACCCTAAACCCTAAACCCTAAACCCTAAACCCTAAACCCTAAACCCTAAACCCTAAACCCTAAACCGTAATTTTCTGAAACTCCCATATGGGAGAATCCTCCAAGGCAAGATCTCCGACCCGACCGAGATCTCCGCCCTCCGCTCACTCCTGAAGACGAAGGATGCCACCGGCTTCAATCGACTTGCCGCTGTGCTTTTTTTTAGGGTTTAGGGTTAGGGTTTAGGGTTTAGGGTTTAGGGGTTTAGGGTTTAGGGTTTAGGGCTTTTGTTCAGGAACTTGCCGCACAGTACCAGCTAGCATACACGAAGATGCACGAGCATATCGTAGTACTAAGTAAATATCGAGGGCAATAAGCCACAAGAACAGCAATCATTTCTAGAATGCAAGCATGGTTTCCTGGTTATGGTAACTAGCTTTTCATGGAGCTCCTCAACAAGAACCACGCCAAATCCCTAGCAACACCCAGCCCAACAGCTTTTTCAAGCTCGAAGCACTCTCTATGGACTTCCTAAACCCCAAACCCTAAACCCTAAACCCTAAACCCCAAACCCAAGGCCAGACGGTGGACTCCGGCTTGGCATGTATGCCCTCAGATCATGGAGCAAGGATACGGGCTGGAGAATGTCAAGGCCGCATCTCGGACGTGAGATGTGGGAATAATATAGGGGCCTTTATTTATTATATACCATGTTGGGGGCTCCTTGTTATAACTATAGTATAATATACCCCAAAACCCTATTCTAATTATTAAGGCAACCCTAAACCCTAAACCCTTCAACCCTAAACCCTAACCCCTAAACCCTACAGTATGAGGCTTAGCGCTTGAGGGCTTCAGGGTTTACCTTTTCGGGTTTCTGGTCTGAGCCGGGTTTTGGCGTTTGGGGGTTGCCTGCTGTTTAAGTTTCGTTCGCTTCCTCTGGTCCAGCTATGACAATGGCTAGTTCATGATGAACCTTTCGCTACCGTCAGTACGTTAACTGTTAACTGCCGTTGCTCGTTGCTCTAGTCGTTGCTGCGGTCCTCGTCCTCGTCCTCTGTTGCCGCTGCTGTTGTTGATGATGGTGATGATGGTGATTCTTGCGGCACTGCAGTTGCCATCGTTGTGACCCCTATCAGTGTCACCGAGTCGTGGTTACATTCGTATCCTGGCAGCCGTGGGTTCAGCATCGGTCTTGCCCAAAGGCTCCATGTACCCATGTAGTAGATACTTAGGCCTTAAAGGGGTCCCTATATAGGTACTTTACGGCTTAAGTATCTCCTATATGGGTACATGGAGCCTTAGGGTTGGTATCCTGTACAATCTGTTGCTTCGAACAGCTGCAACCCGCTTCCTTTGTCCGCGGGCTCCTGAGAAGCGTATGGCTACTTCGGCTGCTTCCTGTGGAGGGCTCCTTGAACGGAACCCTAAAAGGAACCCGCCTTTGATGGAACGCTCAGGGTTTAAGGTTTAGGGATGGTTTAGGGTTTAGGGACCGAGGGTCAGGGGGTCTGATATATCAGAGCATGCTTATGTATTTGGCCAATGCTTTAGGCTTTAGGGGTTTTGGGGCCATTATATTATAATTATAATAAGGAACCCCAAAAATAATATAGGTAATAATTGAGGCCCCTATATTAGGTCCAGGGTTCAGGGTTTCCAGGTTCTACGGGAAGCGTCTGCCTTACACTCAAAGCCCATCCCGCAGCATCAGAGGTCTTGGCGTCTATGCAGCAGGCCTCAGACGTTCCTGTGGGCTCGACACAACATCTCCCCGGGGGAAAGCAGGACCCTGAACCCTAAACCCACCCCTTCGGGCAGATTCTACGGATACGCAGGGCAATGATGCCCTCCCTGCCCTAAGTCCTGTAAACCCTCAACCTCCAAAACCTCATGTACGAAAATTCCCCCTTCAGCTCTCAGGAGCGACAGGCCCACACTGGAATCGCAGCTAAGGGACCTTGGGGTGTCGTGTTGACCATGTTCCGTTCCCCTTGAAGCCTTAAATCTGTGACTGGTACTTGGGCTTTGATTGGTGAGTTAGCAAGGAGACGAGGTTGTAGTTAAAAGTTCAGAATTAGAGTAAGGAATTTGGGGTTTCCGGGTGGCAAACCGTCTTCCTGATGCCGTCTTGCGTCGGATAATGCATCGGGGAGTGGGGAGCTACCCTTCCCGCGGCAATGCCATCCTTGAGCGATGCTTGCGTTCCCCTGACTTCGCGGCTTCAGATTCGGGCGCTGTTGAGTTCTTGAATCTCCTCACCCTACACTGCGTTAACTGTTATGAGGTTGTCTTGCAGAGTTGTGGGCTGCCTCGTTTGGGTTCAGGGCTGAGTGCGTATCGCCAATCACGAACCTCAACGTTTTCGTTTATACTATACTTGTGACCCCTTATGACTTACGCACCTTGCGCAGTTTTCTGGAAGACATAAGTCATGAAACCTTGTGATGTCTAGACTGAAGCATATAACTAGTAAGCCCCCAACGAAAACCTCTGCACGTCTTCGCTGTGTTCTAAAGTGTAACGCCTGCTCGTCATGCAGGAGTGGGCCCAAGTTATCCTCGAGTTTCACGGCCATGAGAATCGATTCTTCTGCGAATACCAAGCGCCTTGGCATCACGAAACCTACCCGTAGCAGTTCCGTATATTGATTCGGGATATGGGTAATGCAGGTTAGTACTCAGAGGTCCCTAAACCCTAAACCCTAAACCCTAGAGGAGTATAGCGTTGGAATAACACAAAAGGAGTTTAGGTTAACTTTGGGCTTGCTGTGTGTTTCAAGTTCAGGCCCAAGCTCAAGCCCACGACGGCTCTATGTATATACCATAGTACAATAAATATACCACTGCATGCTTGTTGTATCATATCCTGCCATATTAAAGTATAGCAAAATATATTTTATTGTGCTATACTATACTGTACTTCACTATAGCATACGATGCTGTACTACAGCATAAGTTACTTTATTATAATGGTTGTACTGTACTTCACTGTATTGTATTGTGTTGTGTAGTTCTCCAGCGCAGTATACTGTATCATTATGCGCTATACTATGTTGCATTAGACTGTATCGTATTTTACTTGCTTTAGTATGCTGTATTGTACTTCATTTTGACGTATCACACTATCTTATAGCACATAGTGACAAGCTCTCGGGATGAGATTGAGGCCGTTGCCGCTGCGTGTTTCGTTTGCGGCTCTGACAGGGTTCGTTGGGGGGATTTAGGGTTTTAGGGTTTAGGGTTTGGGGTTTTAGGGGTTTAGGGCTTTAGGCTTTTTAGGGTTTTTAGGGTTTAGGGTTGTTGGTGGTGCAGAGATGGATGGCAAGCATCACGGAGGCATGCTTGTCGTTTGAGGTTTAAAGTGCTAGAAGTCAGTTTCTGTGTAGCAGAACCGGTCGTGATACTGCTTAGATCAGAAATGTAGGGGTGTCCGGCAATATGCAAGTTCACACCGAGGCAAGTTCCTGGCTGTGGTACTGCGCCCTGCGGTACCCTTTCCTACCCCTGGGTATATTCTTTGTCTTCTTCTCCTTTCTCAGCATTATGGTTGACATCGCGATGGCCCCGCTGGCTATCATTTGGAACTACTCCAAGAAGGCGGTTCCTGGAAATGAAATCAGGCTGCATCTCTTCACCGTCGACCAAGGGGGCGAAGGTGTGGAACATAAAACGGAAGGCTTTACAGCTGTGCTGCTACGACTCAGATCAGCACATACATGTTGGTTTGGGTTTCCTTCGCATTCGTGGAGTCTTGCAATTGCCAACCCCGCATGGTCATAATCATGATTATTGTCGTTGTCGTTATCGTTATTATGCTTGAGCCTTGAGACTTGAGCATCTAGGATTTCTACGCTACACAGTGTTGTAATTGCGATTGACTATGTATGCACATGTGTGTATATGTATATGTATATATATATATATGTATGTTTGCTCAAACCATCAACAAGCTTGTTTCTTGACGCGCAGCCCCAGGATATCAACAACTACTTTTACTAAGCTATTACCACAACAAGTAGTACTAGTACCTGTACTAGTACTAGTGATAGTACTGGTAGTACTAGTAGCAGTACTAGTCCTACTACGACGACGAAGACTACTACT